GGATTTTGCAATAACCTTCCCCTGGATTGAGGAGGGAATGGAGATTTTGCAGTATCTTTTCCCTGGAGTGGGATGGGAATGGAGATTTTACAGTAACCTTTCCCTGCCATGCCCACCAAGCCACGCCCACCAAGCCATGCCACGCCCACCAAGCTACACCCACAGAACTGGTAATAAAATTTTTTGAAACCCACTACTGGTGTAATGCCTATTTGAGGGAACAGTTCTAGTCTTTAGAAAGGAGGGAAACCGAATTAGATAAAATTTTGCAAGGGACACAGGACAAACTGATCAAAAAAATTTACAATTACTTACGAGGATATAAATTAGAAGAAGAGGTACTGAAAGAAAATATGATAATCTGGACAAAAAAAATCGGTTATAGTATTCAATTAGACAAATGGGAAAAACTATGGAAAATAAATTATAAATGGACAGTGTCTGTACTCTATAAAGAAAATCTCTATAAAATGTTTTATAGGTGGCACTTGCCACCAGCCAGATTGGCAAGAATGTTCCCCGGCACGCCATCAACATGTTGAAAATGCAACCACCACAAAGGCACCTATTACCATATGTGGTGGACCTGCCCAATGGCGAAACAATATTGGCAAAGGATCAAAATACAAATAGAAGAAATAACACACCAAAAGATAGAACTAAGACCAGAAAGCTTCCTACTAGGCATAGTGAATGGACACTACGAAAAAGAAACAACATATTTAATTATACATATGATAACAGCAGCACGAATACTATATGCGCAACACTGGAAGAATAGTGATATACCAACACCAGATAAAATAATCAATAAAATTATGGAATGTGCGGAATTAGATAGACTCACAAAGGAATTACAAAATAGGGAAGAACATGACTTTTACTTAGTATGGGAAAAGTGGTATAGTTGGTTGAAAGATAGGAAAGAGATGAAGTAATAGGAAGTAAACAAAATGACCAAATATAGTACGATGGAAACAAAGAACAGACATAGGTCAACGAAGATCAATAGTAGATAGACAAAAGGGAATGACCAAATAAGGAAGAGTCAAAATACAAAGAGAAATATATATTACAGTTGCGACAAACTGGACATGTATTGAAATGGGTGTTTATATGTTTTTATGTTTTGTACGTTTCATTGTTCTGTTTAGTTTGTACTTATAAATAAAAATTGAAAAAAAAAAAGAAGAAGGGAGGGAAATCAAGCCCTAGGTTCTTGGTTTATGAAATGCCACATGGATCGACACTTTCCCTTTGCCTTTTTAACATCTACATAATGCCACTAGGGGAATACACTGACATGAATTATGTCAATGTTAATGGTACTAAATTTACATTTAGAAGGCTTAGTCAAACAGATGGTCCTGGCCTGAAGTCTGAAGGTGTTAGGGAGTAGTTGGGGAGAAGTAAATTTAAGCTTAATTCCAGCAAGCTAGAATGGTTTTAAGTTAGGGACACTCTCCCACATTTTGAAATGATTCATGGCTGAACCCAGATCAGGTTCACAGCTCCTGATTGAGGGATAGCGGTAGCTACATTAGGGAGGACCATTGCATAATTCCATCTTGTGTTCCACTTATGAACTTTCCTGGAGCTTGAGACACTAATCACTGTCACTTATGCCTGGGTCACTTCTCATTTATGTTATTACAATGTGGCTTCCATGGGGCTGCCTGTGAAGACCATTTAGAGGCAAGAAGTGATTCAGATTGCAATAGTCTGGGTAATTCTGGGCACATACTGTATTAATTCACCCATACAATATTTCTACTCCAAGAGCTGCACTGGTTCCAGATCCAAATCAAGGTGCTTGATACCATCGTTAAAGCCCTGCATGGCTCAGAACCTAGGTACCTTCAAGACTGGTTTCATCCAATTGTTTAGGCCTGTCTGATAGCATTAGGTAGAAGAGACTGGGTCCCAATAAAGGAATGCCATTTTCAGGGATATTGGAGACAGACCTTATTAGTTGCTACCTCTTTCTTTGGGCAGCATTTCCTTTAATATCCACTTGGCCCTAAATTTTAGGCCATTTTGGTAGATGATTAAAACCTGGCTTTTCCAGCATAACTTGTTGGCAGATACATTATGACGTTTTTCCACTTGGAATGTGGCTTTCTGTTGAACTGAGTGTGTATTATTCCAGACATAGAATTGTGAACTACTAAGTTACTTGTTTGACTTGATATACCTTTTAAAAACTTATTTTATGTAAGATGGCTTATAAGTCTAGGACTCTTAGGTAACAATCAAAAGTATTAAATTTCCAGAGATGTTGAGGCAATTGGGAAAGCTAGTAAATGGGAATAGATCAAAATATATGCCATATTAGTTTCTTATCAGGCCCAAATTGATTTTACTGGGGGTTTTGTTTACTAGTTTTTGTTTGCCTTTGATTCGGTCTTGACTCCTAGTGTCTGCCTAGATAAGTCTCTGCAACAACTTTTTCAAGATTTCAGAAGTGATTTGCCATTGCTTTCTTCCAGTGGTGGGTTTCAATTTTTTTACTACTGGTTCTGTGCATGTGGCTTGGTGGGTATGGCAGGGGAAGGATACTGTAAAATCTCCATTCCCTCCCCAATCCAGGGGAAGGTTACTGCAAAATCCCCATTTCCTCCTGATCAGCTGGGATGTGGGAGGCAGAGAATAGATGGGGGCGGGCAGGGGTGAAATCTAAAATATTTTGCTACCGGTTCTGTGGGCGTGGCTTAATTAGTGGGCGTGGCTTGGTGGTAAGGTGACTGGGTGGGTGTGGCCAAGTCAATGTCACTTCTTTGCCCTTTTTTAACCTACAAAATACAACACAACACAACTGGCTCACCCACAATGTAAAAGCAGCTGTGCTAGACCCAAAATGGCCCCTGCAAGAAGCCGGAACCTCACACAGCCACAAAAAGCCCAAAAAACCAACTTTCACACTTTACACACACAAAATTCCACATACAGCTTTGTGAGATTTTGTGTTTTTGTGTAGTTAGAGTGAAACACTACAGAAACACACTAAATCTCAGAAAGCTGCACAAATATTATTTTATTTTATTTTATTTTTATTTTTATATAAAAGCAGCTAAATTTAAAACTTCCTAAACTTTAAATGGCTAGGTCTAAAAAAAGAACAACTAAAAAAAACCCCAATTAATGATTTTTTTTAAAGCTCCCAAAGAGGAAAAAAACTTACCCAATAGAACAGGAGTCTCCAACCTTGGCAACTTTAAGACTTGCGGACTTCAACTCCCAGAATTCCTCAGCCAGCTTTGATGGGAGTTGAAGTCCATAAGTCTTAAAGTTGCCAAGGTTGGAGACCCCTACAAGGCAGGTAGGAAGGCAGATAAAGCTGTTCACCAATGAACTTGATTGCAGGTAGGGAGATTCAGTTGCTTGCTGATGCAATGGATTGCAGGTATTACAGCAAGCGAAGCAAGGCAGGCGTTGCGACCAGCAGCTAAGGTAAGCAAGCTGGAGACTGCGGGGGAGGGGGGGAGGAGGGATTTTTGCTACCGGTTAGCAGGCAACTCAGCTGGGATCGTCAGAGCCATTTAAAAGAAAAAAAAAGGCTCTGATGATTGCGCGGCTCAGCTGGGCATGGGGGCGGGGGCAGGGATTTTTGCTACCAGTTCTCTGAACTGCCCACCGCCATCACTACCTACTCACCCGAGCCGGTCTGAACCGGGAGCATTTCACCCCTGGGGTGGGGCCAGTCAGAGGTGGTATTTACCAGTTCTCCGAACTACTCAAAATTTCTGCTACCAGTTCTCTAGAACTGGTCAGAACCTGCTGAAACCCACCTCTGCTTTCTTCCTAGGACTGAGAGAGGATGATTGATCTAGAGTAATCTAACTGGCTTTGTGCCTATGACAGGACTAGATACTCACACTCTCCTGCTTTCTAGTCTGATGCCTTAGCCCATTACACTAAACTGGTTCTCTTTACTGTTTTAACAACATAATAAACAATATCTGAAACTCAGCACATGGGGAGGTGTTGAATTCAAAGGAACCCCAGATTCACACCAGGAGGAAGGTAGTTTGCATAGAAGCTTTGTTGCCTCAGAACAATGGAGGGCTATCCCAATTATATCTGGAGTCTATGAAAAGGGTTACCAGTATATGGCAGCATTCCTAACATTTTAGACACTTGTTGATAAAGAGGCAGAATGAAGGATATTATATTGGATTTTGTCCAGTGATTGACAAGCTTATCTTCAATTCTGGGAATGATTTGCAGTCAAGCAACAATGTGGAAGACATATTTTCATTATGGCTTTCTCCATGTGGCTTCACTTAGCTGTCATTTTATGTTCATGATCAGTTTCTTCTCCCATGTAACCCTGCACAGGTCTCTGCAGGTAACTACCCCAATAAAATGATAGCTCAACAAAAATGATAAGACACATTGCAGTGGCTTCATAAAGTAAACCCTGCCTTTATGTACTTCAGTGCCTAAATAAGACACAATTATAAAAGTTGTGCAGACCTGGAAGACAATTCATGATGCACATTGCAACATTTGCTCCTCTTTGTCCCCCTCCCCATGAATACCTATGAAAATCTGATTACATTGTTACCTGCAAAGCGAAGTAAATTACTGCCTAAGTTTCTTTACCTTTCTTTCATCCTTCAATACATTATCCATTGAGGTGGTGCAGAGGTGGAGATTTGAATGTGATTCTGAACGATCACGGTATAGAAAGACACATAATGCCTGTCAGGAACATTTAAAGAAGTGATCTCTTTTTCCTGGGCTTATGTGGTTCCCTTTCACAGCTGATGCCTGATCTTGGCAAAAGTTAAGCTTGGCTATTATCCCTGATGGCACTACGGGTGTACCTGTGTGAATTCTGACTCATATTTTGTCTTCTAATCTGATTTTTCTGAATAATAGATAGTTGCTATATAGTTAATACTTCTCTTACTCAGCATGGCATATTTTCCTTTTCATCTGCGTTTCTAACCAATCTTTTGCCTTCTGACATAATACTAGTAGTGGTTTTCACTTACCTTTACTACCGCTTTAAGACTGGGAGCGCATGCGCGGATTGTCCGTGATGATGTCCGGGCAGTTGGGCAGAGCCTCCCATTGCCACCACTACCAGTTTGCCCAAACCGGGGCAAACAGGTAAAAACCCACCACAGCATAGTACAGTTTGGGGACACCCCAGTGAAATCAATTGAATATATAAATATTCTTATGGTGCAGGAGACAAATAGAATTCCATAAAAACATTTGGACAATGGGATTCTAGAACAAGGTATTTTAAACTGTCTCAGAGTCTGGAACCTATTAGTTTAAACAAACAAACAAACAAACAAACCAGAATCTATGATCAAGAGGTAAAGCTTTTATGAGAAAAAATAACTGCCTTCAACTTTTTTTCCCTTGGTCTCTTATGGAACCCCATGGACCTCTTTTCTATTTTTGAAAAAAACCTGTTCTAACATGTACACAGTGGTGGCATCCTGCCAATTTAACAAAGGGTTCGGTGATCACGCGCTTTGCGTGCTGCTCATGCGTGCACGGTTTTACAAAAACTTACCTTCTGTGTTACTGCTGGGGAGTAACACAGCTAAGGCGCGGCACTGCCTCCATGAACCAGCTGAGAAGATATAGGTCAGTAAAGTGAAGGGGCAGGTGGGCGGGCCCACCTGATCGTTGAAGCTACCGATTCGCCCGAACTGGTTCAAACCAGTAGAATCCCACCCCTGCATGTACACCAAGCTAGGATATTCCAAATTTTTCTTTAGTTTCCTTTTTCTTTAGTTTTCCACCTAAAGAAAAATATTTTGGTGAACTCATTGGAATCTGCATCATGACACTGCACCCTCCGCAAAGGGTGGAACTTGCAGTTCAATGGCAGACTAGTTCTTTCTTCATTTAGATGAAAGCAGTGAGAGCTGAGGATTTCCATGGTGTTGCAGACGATTTTTCTGCTTGCAAAAGATTGTGACTGTGACATTAATTAGGCTGCTACTTGGGTGCTTCAGAGAAAACATTTGGTCTGTGCAAAGGGACCTAGATTGACTTTGAGGGAGGCCATGGAGGTGACCTCATTTCCTTTGCAGAAGCTAATATTTGTACAGTTCCAGCTACTGTACCAATTGGGACCCTCTTTGAGCTGGTCATGCAATTATCCACATTTTAGTTACAATCCTCTTGAATATTGCAGTGTATGTCTTGCAAATTATGTATGTATGCATGAATGCATGCATGTATTTATGTATGAATAAATAAATAGAATATTTTGAAATTACAAGTGGTGCAAAATGTGTTGGTTAAGCTGCTGACTGGTTCAAAGTACAGGAATCATATTCTCCTCCTACCTCTCTGACCGGTCGCAATCTGTGTTGACAGGGGGGCAGCGGTCGACCCCGAGGCACCTTGCTTGTGGGGTGCCACAAGGGTCGGTCCTCTCGCCCCTTCTGTTCAACATTTATGTAAAGCCGCTGGGTGAGATCATCCGTGGCTTCGGGGTGGAGTTCCATCAGTACGCTGATGACACCCAGCTGTACATCTCCACCCCAGGCCACCCCAATGATGCCCTTAAAGTGATGTCCCAGTGCCTGGAGGCCGTGCGGGCCTGGATGGGGAGAAACAGGCTCCAACTCAACCCCTCCAAGACCGAGTGGCTGTGGCTTCCGGCGTCCCGATATAGCCAGCTGACGCCATCGCTGGCTATTGGGGGCGAATCACTCGCCCCCACGGAGAGGGCTTGTAACTTGGGCGTCCTCCTGGACGCACGGCTGTCGTTAGAAGATCATTTGGCGGCCGTGGCCAGGGGGGCTTTTTATCAGGTCCGCCTGATACGCCAGTTGCGCCCCTTTCTAGATCGGGACTCCCTACGCACAGTCACTCAGGCACTCGTCACTTCCCGCCTGGACTACTGCAACGCTCTCTACATGGGGCTCCCCCTGGGGTGCACCCGGAGGCTCCAGCTGGTCCAGAACGCGGCCGCGCGGGGGATTTTGGGGCGACGAGGCGCTCCCACGTGACACCTCTCCTGCGCGAGCTGCACTGGCTCCCGGTGGTCTTCCGGGTGCGCTTCAAGGTGTTGGTGACCACCTTTAAAGCGCTCCATGGCTTAGGGCCGGGGTACTTACGAGACCGCCTTCTGCCACCAATAGCCTCCCACCGGCCAGTACGCTCCCACAGAGTGGGCCTCCTCAGGGTGCCGTCCGCCAGACAATGTCGGCTGGCGACCCCCAGGGGGAGAGCCTTCTCTGTGGCGGCGCCCACCCTCTGGAACAACCTCCCCCCAGAGCTACGTACAATAACAGACCTCCGGATTTTTCGTCGGGCCCTAAAAACCCATTTATTTCAACTAGCTGGGCTGGCTTGAGTCAAATTTTAAACGGATTTTAAATTGGAATGTTTTAATTACGGCCAAAATTATTTAATTATTTTAAACAGATTTTAGATTTTGTATGTTTTGTATGTATGTCTTGTTTTTACTTTGGCTGTTCACCGCCCTGAGTCCTACATTGGAGAAGGGCGGTATAGAAATTTAAACAAATAAATAAAAATAAATAAATAAATCAATCTGAGACCAAAAGAATTGCATTGACTGCCAATTCAAGGTCATGATATTGACTTTTATGAGGCTACATCAGGGTTTCTCCATCACTGGCTGAGGATTTCTGGGAGCTGAAGTCCACACATTTCAAAGATACCATGTTTGAGAAACATTGTCCTAAATGGTTAATGGACTGACTTTTTCTCCCACTATGAAACTGCCCAGCGATTCAGATAAACAGGGAATGCCCTTCTTAAGATATATCCATTGTCAGAAGTTAGACTATCTGGTATATGGGTGGTAGCAGTATATGGAATGGCCACACCAACCAGGACTTTCACTGTCCTGACATGTGCCTTTGTGTACTTTCATGCTGATATCTGTTAGAAGTATGTCAGTCACGATATTTGTATCATGATGTCCTGAAGCATGCTTTGTAATTTGCTCCTGCCTTGTCCCACTGTGGATGCCTATAGTGGAATGTCCTACATACAAAAGTTCTTGGCTTCCAGCATCTCCAGTATTTAGAAGGTTAGTAAAAGCACAGCTCTACTGCCAAGCTTTTAATTTGTTTAATTGCTAATTTTAATCTTTGATTTTTATCTGTATGGTGGTTGTATTTCTCTTTGGTTTATATTCTGTATTCCTTTTATTGTTATCAGTTCCCTTGATTATCAAATAGAAAGACTGGCAGAATGTAAATTCAGTAATGATAATATACATTTTTATGCATTCCATTTCCTTAAAAAATGTATGTATGTATGTATGTATGTATGTATGTGTGTGTGTGTGTGTGTGTATGTATGTATGTATGTATGTATGTATGTATGTATGTATGTATGTAGTGTAAGATTAGGATGTAAAAAGTAGGAAAGAATATGTGAAGGAAATATGTCTTCTTAATTTGACCCTGTATATGTATTACTAAACCTTATATTGTACAGTATATAGCTGAAGACTATTGGCCTTGTAAACTTTTAATTCCTAAAAAAGTGCCACTAGATGGTGCAAGAGATATTTTGAAAATATCCTGAAAGGCAAGTCTTTTCAAGTCATGTGTTGCAAGGCTTATCAAGACTAAATTACATCAGTCATTTATAGCAATGACTTTTTTATGTTATGTGAAGTTATGTGTTCAACAAAACAGGCATAATATGGTTAAAATATACCAAATTGGGAAACCTGTTTACCTTTTCAAATTTATCCCTTCATACGATAACAACTGTTTGGAAGAATTGATATTCAGAAATGCTGGAAAGGAATGCACCAAGAAATAAAAGAACAATTGGGAAAGCAGTAATTTAAAATTCTTTTGAAGCACAATTACATATTTGAAATAATGGGAATATCATTATATAAATGTTTTTAGAATAACAAATCATAGAAGGAGCCAAATAGGATATGTTTCATTATATTAACTGCTTTATGCTTAGAATAAAGCATAAAGAAATATGTGTAGAAATAAAACACTGGCCTTGAACCAGGAGTGATATCTTGAAAATAGAAGAAATATGGCAGTTTAATTACAGTGGGATTTGTCAAATTACCTTATGGGAGGAAATATGAAAAAATATGAAAAGTATTGTTACACTATACCTGTAGTCCTCAACCATTCATTTAGTGACCATTTGAAGTTATGATGGCACTGAAAAAAGTGACCTGCCCATTTTTCACACGTATGACCATTGCAGCATCCCCATGGTCACATGATCAAAATTTGGATGCTTGGTTCATATTTAAGACCGTTACAATCTCCAGGAGTCATATAACCACCTTTTGCGACCTTCTAACAAGCAAAGTTAATGGGAAAGCAGATTCACTTAACATCCATGTTACTAATTTAACAACTGCAGGGATTCACTTAACTGTGGCAAGAAAGGTCACAAAATGGGGCAAAATTCAACTCTCTTACTTAGCAACAGAAATTGTGGCCTCAGTTGTGGTCGTACGTTGAGGACTACCTGTATAGGGACCAAGGCAGACCAGAAGTTATATATACAGTATATTTCCCAAAATGCCTAAATATATTCAAAGCTTCTTTTTGAAATACAATGGGCCCTTATAGCCCACTTTTTCATCAAAACAGTCAAAGTGTCTGACAATGAGAAAATCCACAATTCAGCAAAACAAAAATAACACAGCATCAAAAATCAAATGACAGCCTAGCAAAATGGCAACTATTTAAAATTTAATTAAAGAAAATAGTGTCTGTAATTATTATTTATTTATTTATTTATTTATTTATTATTTATTTTTTATTTGATTTATATGCCGCCCTTCTCCGGAGACTCAGGGCGGCTTACAATGCATTAAGCAATAGCCTTCATACTTTTGTATATACCTGCTTAGTAGGGCTTTCAGGCCCCCCAAGTGGTGTTCTTTTTTATACAAAGTCAGCTTATTGTCCCCACAATCCGGGTCTTCATTTTACCTACCTTGAAAGGATGGAAGGCTGAGTCAACCTTGAGCCTGGTGAGATTTGAACTTGTAGTAATTGCAGGCAGCTGGTGCCACTTAATAGCACTTTAGTCTGCTGTGCCACCAAGGCTTTTATTATGACAACAAATTATGTCCTGTGGGTGAAGGTCCCTCAAAATAACTCTCTTAAGGTTTAATTGAAGGCAGGAAAACTGTAACCCCCTGAAAATAAGATTGCCTGCACATGTACCTTACATGCTACTCCCATTTGGGATAAATAGTGTTGCACTGACCTCTG